ATTGTAATATATATGTAATATAATATATAATTGTATGTACTAAACAGTTTTAAGCTTAATTTTAAAAAAACCCATCCCTATACATATAGTAAAGACTCCAACATTGTAAACTGTCTCTCTGCATCCATACGGTAAAAATAATTCTGGAAGGAAACACAAAGTCTTAACTATAGCATATAGGGTAGTGGGTCATTTGATATCACAAATTTGATATAGTGAACTGCATTTCTTTTAAGATCAGAAAAATGCTTTCACAAAAATAGGAATGCTTTCATAAAAACTGTTCATGAATTTCTTGTCAGTAACTTAAAAAAAAATCACAACTTGAAGAGTAGAAGACTACTCAAAAAGAGAAAGAAAATTAGTTTAAGAGCAAATTGTATTATACAGGCTTATATGTCGCCAATATCAAAAGATTATGTTGTAATGAAATGTTCAAAAAATTACTTTTCCCATTTCTCCTTGTAGACTGTGAAAATCAAACTTTAAAATGTGACATTTGAAAGACTTTCTGAATGTGTCAATTCATACTCATTCCAAAGGTTGCTGACACACAGACAGAACATAAATCATTCTTATAAGGAAAACTGCAGCTTTTTTTAACCCAAGTTCAGGGGTTTGACGGGGAGTTCTCGAGCATGAGCTAACTCCTCCCACTCCCTGGCAGAGGGTTGAGGGCAGTGGGAGAGAAACACCAAGCTATAAAAAGCTTTATGTTTTATTTCCTTCTAAGGCATCCTGAGTCACTGGGTGCTCCAGCCCCCAAGTGCCCAGCAAAGTTCAGCTCAAATCGGAAATGTGTGTTTTCCTAAACCAGCACTGCTGAAAAACCAGATGACGTTGTCCCTTGGACTGAATCTCTCACAGGCCCAGTGGTAGCTTCCTATTTCCATCCTGGGAGGAGAATGCAAGTCGCTTAATTATCAGTTTCTCTGACCCAGGTTCCAATATTACATCAGAGTCTTAATAGCAAGCTTAACCTCCGCTCCACCCCCGACATGAAGCTGCTGAGAATTTAAAAATCCCATTCGTCATCTTAAAAGACACAGCACTCCTACGCAATTTTGCTTCCCACCCTTTAGGCTGCAATTTCAATCAATTCAAACACCAAGTGATACCAAATCAGGTTGGTCAGAATCCTAGAAAGCCACAGGCGAAGGTACCTAACCCAATAATCTTATTTTACCAAGGAGGAAAATGAGGCCCCGAGAAGGCAAGGAACCTGCCCAAGGCTGCAGAAGGACAGAACCCAAACTAGCAGCCAGGCCAAAAGCCTCAGAGCAGAGGGCTCCGCATGGTGATGTTCTCGTCCTTGTAGCTCCAGTACCTATATGCAGGAGGGGGTGTTTAAATGCTCCTGAGAGATGCCTCCAGCCTCCTGGCCGAGCCAGGGGCCCCGATATTGTTCCTTCTTTTCAGTCCTCCTATCGCTTCTGTGCAGAGCAGGAAAGAAAACAGGGAAGGCAACCTGGAAAAGATGCTTCCGGAAGCACGGCAGTGGAAGATCTTTCCTGCTAGAGAACCTAAGAACCAGGGTCGGGGCCAGCGCTGATTAAGGGGAAGGTTTTAACGCCAAGTTCTGAAATGAAAGTGAATCCCACCCCCTCTCCTCAGATTTCCTGCTCTGGACACGGGCCAACGTCTGTGCTTGTCATCTAAAATTCCCCGTCTTGGCCGGGTACAGTGGCTCACACCCGTAATCCTAGCACTCTGGGAGGCTGAGGTGGGAGAGTTGCTTGAGCTCAGGAGTTCGAGACCAGGCTGAGCAACAGTGAGACCTCCGTCTCTACTAAAAATAGAAAAATTTGCCAGGTGTAGTGGTGGCATCATGGCCCACACCAGTAGTCCCAGCTGCATGGGAGGCTGAGGCAGGAGGATCACCTGAGCCCAGGAGTTTGAAGCTGCAGTGAGCTACGATGACAGCACTGCACTCTACCCAGGTAGACAGAGTGAAACAGTCTAAAAAAATAAAATAAAAATAAAATTCCCATCTTATTTTTTAAATTATTTCTTTATAGAATCCCTAGAGACTTGAATTGAGGTTAAAAGGAAATTAATCTATGGTGTAAATTTCCTGCATAAAGCAAGCATGGGTACATTAATAGGCTAAGAGAATGGGTTCAAATGTCAGCTATTAACACCCAAACTACTTAAAAACTAGTGTAAGACTGTCATGGGATGTGTCTATGGTATTTCGGGCCCCTCATTCTCACTGTACTAGAGCCTGGGTAGGATTACAACTGAGGGCAGATAGATCTTGTTCAGAGAGCAAAAGGGATTGAAAGCTACGCAAGCTAAAAACCTACACAGTTCGCAGTTAGAGATGAAAGGCTGCAGAAATGTTTATTGAATACAGTGCCAGGTTTATAAATAAAACTTATTTACAATTTCCATAGAGTTGGTCCCCCATCAGAGAGGTGGTTAAATCTCCAAACAGTTCATCCCAAAATTTACAGAAACGTTCAAATACATTTCCTTTTCAAATAGCCATGGTGAAGGGCAACTTCAGTAACAAAAGAACTACCACCCATCTTTGCTACAGAAGTGTTTAATGAACATTGTAATAGATTTGGAGAAAGAACACACACTCCACCCATGCCACTACCTTCTTATTCCAAGGGATACAGACAGCAAAGTATTTCTGTCTCCTACAGGACAACTTCAAGGGATTAAAAAAAAAAAAAAAAAACAGTAACTGCCAGCTGGAGGGCTAGATTAAGACACATTAGTGGAAATCTAGTAACTGCCAAAGGATAAATATATTTAGGATATACAATAAATAATTCAAACGTTTAAAATAATTGAATGAAGAGTAGACTTGACCAAATTTACATTCTTTGTTCAGGAAGAAGTTCCCAGTGTGCTGAGGGCTAATGGTAAGCTATTCCTCCAACGTGACGCAGCAGTGCTAGGCCTACTGGACAGCCATTCATTACAATATTGTTACACATACAATCAGACATGCATTTATAAAGAGAATATAAAAATATGTACAATAGCTCATTTTCAATGTGTGTTAAGTTGCCGAAAGACACCAATGAAAGTGTGCAAAAACTCGTTTGTCAAAAAAATCAGAAAAAGCCTTCCTTGGCAACAGTGCGTCAAAAGCCCATCGGAAATATCAAGATCCGTTTGCCTTGCTCAACACCTACCCCAGACAGATGGAGAACAAAACTAGGAAAGGGTTTGCCAAGTACTCAGCAGTTTCTTATGGCAAGTCTCAGGCTAAAGCGGGTTGCCAGTTAAACTAATCACTTTATATATAAATATATGTATATATTTATAGAGTAGTTAGAAGTAGGGGCAAGAGTTTACAGGAAGGTGCTAACCAACTTTCAAGAGTACTGCCGCAACACCCAGCTATTTGCTCTCACAATCTCAGGCAGACTGCTAACACTCAACCCTGGGGTTGGTCATCCCCCGAAACGCTGGGGGTTGGGGAGGAAGGCTACTGTGGGCTCTGCCTCATCTCTGCTCCAAACTGGAACTCAGCATTCCCCGGGGGGGTGGGGCTTCTGGTTTCCCATACAGGATCCTGGCCATACAAGAATCCTGTTTCAAAGGTAGTCTTTTAGGATAAGCTGTGGGACCGCTAAAATGGAGTCCACCCAGCTTCTAGAGACTTATGAAATGGCTAACACAGAACGCTGTTTTAAAAACAAGTCAGATCACCCCACCCTAACCCCCTTTTGAAACTACCAGGAGGTCGTCGACCACAGGCCTGAGAATGGGTCAAAAATCACGTTATTTGATCCCCTTATAAGAAACATCCAGAGCATAAACCTACTCAAAGCAAGAGCCTTCAGTATTCCCTCTCTCGCTAGAAGAGAAATCCCAACGTATCTTTAGGTGTTCCTTTCGGATTCAGGGAATTACGAGAGCCAGCCCCGAGTTCACGGTGTCAACGTCTCTTCTACCAACCACCCAGACCAAGGACCAGTAGCAGAAGCACATGGACGGTGTCTCCTCTCCACTGCTCTGACCCATCCCACTGGCAGAAAATCTAATAAGCTACAAAATGCCAGAAAGACAGGGAGTAGGAGAGGGAGAAGCCAAGGGTCTCTATAAATCAGCCCTGAATGCACCCATTTGGCTGCCAAGCGCTTCTCACTGCTTTGCTAGCAGCCTGCCACCGTTCCCTGGCAAATTAAAACCACCCACACAAACACTAAAAACCCAAATCTCCTTGCTAATAAGATACAACCAGTTAACACCCTGAAAAATGTACATCCAGCCTTCATTTCAAAGAGTTCTGCACTAAATGCAATATGCTTTTAAGAGGGCTTTTTAAACAGACCAATCCCAATGTAAAGACCAGTACCAGCATGACTGAGTTTCAGTTACAGTTTATAATTTGACACAAAATTCGCTCTGGGCTGGAATTTTACTTTCAAGCCGGAGGCTAGCATTAGTTCTACTTGGGGGAGAAAACCAAAGTCAAGTCAATTTGAAAAAAAAAAAAGAGGAAGCTAAAGTTAAATATAATTGTAAATTAAGTCGTGAATCAAAGGTGACTGGTAGTGTCCTTTAGGCATGAAAAGACTGGCTTAGAAAAGTGACTACTGCTTCTACCGCACACAGCAAGGAGTGAATTACAGATACACTAAATCATGTCTCTTGCACAGATGGTCTCAAGTAGTTACATAAAACAGGTTATCAGCAGCACAATTGAGAAGAACCTCTAAATACATGCTTGAGAGAAAGTGGGTTTTTTCCTTCATTAAGAGCTCTACTGCCTGAATAGATCATTAAAAGTTACCATGATTCACTCCCCCCTCCCCCCTATGAAAAATGCAACTAGACCTAATGTCCATAAACAGGATGAAGCAATCGGTATCTGCTTGTTTTTAGGCAAGGTCTTAGGCTCAGAGGTTGGTGCTGGGATCTTGGGAGGGAGGGAAAACCAATGCTGGGCCGAGAGTATTTAAATGTACACTGGCCTCCCCTCCAACTGCCTTGTCCCCGTTTAGATCTTAGCTTTACAAAGCATTTAACACCACTTTAAGATAATGGTCTTTATTGGAAAATAAAATAAAATAAAACTAGCATTTACAACTTGGAATGGACATAAATTGTAATTTCTTGAACAGCAATGTTGATGGTTGTGCTGAAGTCCACAGCCACAGCCTACTCTGCCGACTCCAAGTCATGGTTCAGAAGGTTTAAAAACAGAGAGTCCAAAGATGCTCCCTTGGTAAAGGTTTCTTATTAAAAATTTGTGTGAACAGTGACAGCCTAACACCCATTGCACTCCAGTACCATGCAGACAACGCTAAACCAACATACTCAGGCATGCCACCAGGGTGTGTCACCATCACCACGGGTCGGAGCACACGGAAGTACAAGAGGACCATCCTACCAGTGGGGCTACGTCTCAACAGTTTATCCTTCACTCGTTTTTCTGCACATCATCCTGAGGTAAACCAATTTTAAATGTGTCTGTTTTCAGTAAACCAGCTAGGACAATTTATACTAAACAAATTGAACTAGAACCCATTTGAATAGGTTTTGAATTTGTTTTTTCATTTTTCATTTTTAATACAAATGCCTGACTGTGCTCAATCGTCAAGCTGCATGCATGAAAAACTGGCCAGCCCAAACAGTGTATTAATCATTAGCAAATGGAACTTTAAGGAGTCCTTATCATTAAGGTAGTACAAGTATTTATATTGTAAAACTGATGTGTAGCTTGATCTTTAGGGGACAGGACCACCAACCAATACATGCAGATTTTGTGTGTGTGGACAGAAGGTACTTTTGACATTCAGTTTTGCTATATAGAAACAGAATGAATAAATGAACTTTTTTATTTTTTTGCAAGAGGTAAGTAAAAGATTCAATTTGATTCTTCTAGAGGGGGGAAAAAGGAGTTGAAAGTAGGTCTTCATTTTGCAGTCATCATCTGTACGAATTCTGAAAAGACAAATAATCATAACTTTTGGTTATCTTTAAAGATTTAATGAACACAACATCTCTACTGTGCATAAAATAAAACCAATGCCTGTCTAGTGAAGCAATTAACTTGCTTACAGCTCCTAAAGGTAAGACTTTTTTAAGAACTAAGCTAAAGAAATTTAGTGTTTTACCTTCATAGTTGACTTGTCCGTCTCCATCAATATCTGCTTCTCTGATCATTTCATCTACTTCTTCATCTGTTAGTTTTTCTCCTAAGTTTGTCATGACGTGACGTAGTTCTGCTGCGCTGATGTAACCATTGCCGTCCTGTGAACATTCAGCAATTGTTAATGACAGCAGCTCCGTGTGGGCAAGGACACATCTCTGCCATATATGCCCTCTCAAGTTACTGCTAACTGCTCACATCAACAACTTGGATCTCTGGTTCCCACCTCTACTTACTAAATCATGCCATCAGCTGATGCAGAAAACATCAGGGATTTTCAAAAGCTAACAGAAATTCAAGTCACAATCAGGAAACGTGGTTCAAAATTCCTATTATGCTTACCCTTGCCTGATAAGGTTATTGTAACAATAAGTCAGGATATTTCAAAGTGAGATCAAAGGCTCAGGCAGTTAGGTTATGTATTATATCTATAACAGATTATTAGAGCTTTTTAGAAGTAACAGCAAATAAAAAAAGCCATACTTAAGTACCATCTGCTATGAAGATGCAGGATTACCTTGTCAAAGACTCGGAACGCCTCACGGATTTCTTCTTCGCTATCTGTATCTTTCATTTTTCTAGCCATCATAGTCAAAAATTCTGGGAAGTCAATGGTGCCGTTACCTCAAATTAAAGAACAAAAAGCTCACATAAAATAACCGATCTATTAATGCTGCTCTGTAGTAAGAATTTTAGAACCACTATAGAGAATGACAAGCACTTGCAAGGACAAAGTGGCAAACTATTTTATTAGGTTCGACAAATAGTTTTTGTAGGTCTAAAATGTTCGAATACTGCACAGAACAATTCGACGTGATTCAGACTAATGACCGGTGCGCAGGATAGCCTTCAGTAACAAGGGAAACTGCGCATCTGGGTTCACGACCACTGAAGGGACACAGAGAGCTGTTTGGTTTGGGAAAACGCAGCACCCAACACGCAGGCTGAATCTTTCCACCCCCAAAGGAAGAAAGTGCCCTCGACTGCCTTCCCCCTCCAGTTAGGGGGGTGACAAGGGTCTAACTCTGCCTTGGCTAGTGACATTGGTAACGTAAAGGTGGCCTAGAATTGGGCTGTAGGTTAAAAGTACAAGATGTTCTAGGGGAGAAAGATTATGAGAGGGGAGAAAACTGAATTTGTTATGCCATGGTCCATAAGGTCTTAACGTCTTCTTTAGGGACATTTCATGGCCACATTATGACGGTAAGTCACCTAATCATCCCCCCCCCCAACCCAGTATCATTATTTTCCATTAAAAGAAACGCTCAGAAGCATTTTCACAGCTCAGACCATTAATATTTAGGAAACTGTGTCAGAAGAATTCATTCTATGGCCAGTATTCTAAAATCTCCTCTAAAACTAAGAGATAGATGAATATCCCCAAAGACAAGCCTCCAGATTAAAATTAGAAAAAACCCCGTAAGTTATTCATTTTCACTGGTACCTTTAAAACAAAATAATTCACAGATCCCCTCAAATATTTTTTTGCCTCCAAAATTTTAAGGTGTTACTGATATTCATGCTACACAAAATAAATTATTTGAAGTAACCTTTCTCACAACCATCCAGAAGATGTTTTTAGGCATCACCGTACTCAGTGCGAATACAGGATTCTGTGGCCTGGCACAATTTCTCCCTGTTGTTCCTTACAGTCTAAGACCCTAATACACTTCTTTCATCCCCAAGCCCAATTTTCCAGGACTTATACAAAACAAGAAGGAGTCACCACATGTTCCCAGACAGCTGATCATCTTAGGAAACTAGAGAAAACCATAGACAACATTTTGTCCCAAAACAACATTAAGAGTGGAAATAATCTTTATCAGTAACTCTAATGGGCTGAAAGCTCTATGAGTTTAACCAAAAGTCCTGCCTCTAAGTGTCTAGGACCAGATAAGTGTAATTCCAACTATATCACCCTATGGTACCATATTTTTAAGACAGCTACTATCAAGTCAATTATCTAAAAAGTCAAGTCTAGAGCCAAATTATTTATTCTTTGCTCATCTTTTAAAAGTCATGTTCTATAATGTTACATAGTCCATTAGTGCTTATATATGATTTACAAAAATACATGCTTTGGGGTGGGGTGTACTTCAAAACTGTTTACTAATGGAAATGAGCAATCAGAGGTCTGCTGCCCACTGCTGTAGAGTTTAGAGGAAGATATGACAATCTGCTGGGTGGGGAGGGGGGGGTTGCTGCTACTTCCTCTGCACCTTATATCGCTTCCCCTTCTGTTAGGTTTTGTAGGTCTACGCCTGACAAGTCATCGTGTACCCCACGTCCAAGCCTCACATGATCCTATTCAGCAAACTACAGCTCACACTCTATTTGGTTCTATAGTAGCTTCTAAGAGTGTTCTTCACCCACCTCGTTTGGGTATTTTTCCTCCTCTAAAAGAGACAATAAGCTTTTTAAAAAGCAGGTTCTATGGCTATTTAATTTTAATCCCTCTTGAAGACTCAGTGCAGACTCATGGGCCAATTGATAAATGAGTTGAGCCCTAGGCCATGGCAAGCAGAAAAGAACAATACAGTGATCTGATCCAGGAAATGCTCTAGACAGTGCGCAGAGGGACAGCAGGCCCATAATATTCTATTTCAACTGTCAGTGGCCATAAGGCAACCACAGAAAAGATCCTTGCACACTTGCTTTGCTCTGGAGACCCGAAAGATAATCCCGTAACATGTCTGAACTTGAATTACACAACAGTGGCACTCATTCATGATTCTAAAGCCCTTACCATCAGCATCCACTTCGTTGATCATATCCTGCAATTCGGCTTCTGTCGGGTTCTGACCCAGTGACCTCATGACAGTTCCAAGTTCCTTTGTTGTGATGGTGCCGTCACCATCTTTGTCGAATAGGGAGAAAGCTTCCTTGAATTCTGAAAACAAAAGTTTACCCTTTAGAATGAATGTCTTTATCCAACCCAGCCACAATGCACACTTGCCTGGGGCTTGCCAAAAGCAAGCTGTCCAAGTCGTGCAAGGTATCAGAAACGCCCTGGCCTCTATCTACTGAAATAAAGACAATAGTTGTGTTGGACCAGCCTTCATAAAGCAGCCCATAAAGCAAATATTGCTCCTAGGAACCAGTTCCACAAAACCACAAGATTCTCATATTTTTTTCTCTTTATTTTTTTTAATTAATATAAATTTTCTTCTTTGTCACCACCAAGATGGAATAGTCTCACATTTTTAAAGAAGGCTAAGCTTAAACATGCCTAAATTAGTCCTAAGTCCAATCTGATAGGAGATCGGTCCATGTGATCCCTTAAAAGTCCCCACCTAAAAATCTCTGCAGCCAGAAGAACCCCTTGTTTCACAGCAACATGAAAAAGGTCACTAGAAACGTACATTCCAAGGTAACCAGCCTAATTCTATGTGGCACTCAGAATATTTCAGAACTGTCCCTGGTTTCATAAAGAGAAACTGTCCCAAAACAAGTCCTCCAGGGAATTTCAAAAAGCTAAAATCTGTCAGACTTGGCAGTACACACCTATTAAGTCCCAACTATTCAGGAGGCTGAGGAGGGAGGATCACTTGAGCCCAGGAGTTCAAGTCTAGCCTGGGCAACATAGCAACACTCCATCTCAAAAAAAAAAAAAAAAGGCTAAAATCTAAACTGATGTAACTCCCTTCTCAACTATTACAGTGGTCCTAACACTCATTTTCACCCACTCCCATTTATTTTAGGATAGCAAGCACAAGCTTTCACAGTGGATAACTAAAAGACAGTGGCATAGGAATAGTAAATTTTTGAGTAGCAGGCTCAGTGCAATCTCATCACATACAAAGCCGTGCACATCATGAAACACAAATTCTCCAAGAGTGTAACAAGTGGGCATTCTAGCGTAAGTTTTACTCCTTCCACGATATCTCCAAAATACTGGCAAGGAATAACACCTGACCTAAAAGTTTCTGCTTATCATTTTCATTAAAATAAAATCTTAGAAAACTGCTCAGATTGTAGGGGGGAGGGAACAGAGGAGTCACCAAAACTGAGTCAGTGCCTAGTTCTGGCCTTCTGGGGACTCCCCGGAGTTGTCAACTTACCAGCAATCTGTTCTTCAGTCAGCTGATCAGCCTACATGAAGAAAGAAAAGGTTATAATTCAATCCACCAGTCTGAGATCAAGACAGTTTTTCCAGTTACACTTTTGATATTGTGATCTTTCAAAAATCAATCTTTAAAAAATCATTTGAAACCTTTACCACGGTCATTTAATGAAATCAATTACAATAAAGGTAATTGCTATGCTATGCTATTTTAACAAAAGATGACAAGGAAGTGACAATATCTAATCACTTCAGTTTTTCTTTTCTGGGCCTGTGGCTTAGCGTGCCCTGAGATCTAACTAGGAAGGGTCGGCTAATAATGTGAAAAATGGCACCTCTAGTGGCAAAAGGCCCCCAGCACCAACGGCGGCGGCGGCGGCAGCAGCAGCAGCAGCAGCGAGCTCTAAGAAAGAAGAGCGCCATCTACTGCACCACGGACGCCGCAGTGCCCGCTTCCATCCAAGAAGGGACCCAGCCCAACACCACTGCCACCACAGCCGGGATCAGGATCCTGTCCAGGGGCAGGCTTTTAGCACACCTTGCGCATTGCTTCAGGCCCTCGAAATCTCCCGACTGGCATTACATAATGGCATTGGGTTGGATTAACAGGCTTTTATATCCATTTTATGAGAAACAATTAAGTGGAAAAAATAAATATACAGCAATGCGTTACCCCACCAACTTCATTTCCATGTAATAAATGCTTTCCAATCCTTTAAATGAGGCAGTTATTTGTTAAAAGCCTACCATTTACAATGGCTAATGGCCTTGGTCATATTATCCTGATTCAGAAGCCAGGAAAAAAATGGAACCACCTTACAAATGAGGTGTTACAAAACTGCAAAAATTAAATACAAAGAAAACTACACAATAATTATGAGACTATATATATATATATATATATATATACCCTCTTTTCAGATAAAAAGAAGTAACTATTAGATTTGCTGGAGACTATTCACCCTACCCATCTTAAGAATGACATAAGAGCTGCTCATAATAAACACACTTTACTCCAGGTGGTAATAATGGCCATGAAGGTAATTCTCACTTGCATTATTTGGTCTCCACCACCCTGAACATGTGCCTCCCGCCAGGGGAATTTGAGATCTCGGGGAGAGCTAACATGTATTTTTATTTTAATGAAGGACGCCTTATGAAGCTACAAAATAAGCTACAAAATGTTTTACCTAATAAAAAACTGATGGCTTTAAGTTTATTCTCTTAAGTGGAAACTTTTACAGTCGGAACGGTGTTCAGATATATTGATTTGGGGGGGGGGACCTATCTTTACAAATTGTAAATTCTTCCTTTTCTACCCCAGTCCCTAAAAATTGGTTTTCTTAAAATGAAATGGAGACGCGAAGATTTATGTAATGCCAGGGCAGCGTCTATCTTGTACAACAGGAAGCTCTGCCACACCTCGCAAGTGAGAACAGTCCCACCTTGCTGCAAAACTCTCGCGCCAGAGGGGTCACCAGGAGGGAGCATCCACCTTCCTCGACAACCAACACCCCCTTCTCCCAAATCGCGCTGGCCTCGGGGGAGAAGGTGTTCCGGAGCCCGGCCGGGAGCCGACTCCCCACCCCGCCAGACCACAAAACGCTGCCGGTGATGTCAGCCCTGCCCGCCGAGGGAGGAAGGGGCCGTGGAAAACACACCCAGCCAGGCGCACAGTCGCATCTGGCGATCTAGAGGCTGCGGAGAAAGCGGAAACGCGGAGGGCATCTCCCTGCCGACCGCGAAGCGGCGCGGAGAGGGCCCCGCGGGGCGAGCGGCCGGGCAGGGGTGGCAGCCCCGGGGCAGGCGGGGTGGGGACACCGCCCCTCTCCCGCCGGGAGACCCCCGCTCCCATCCCCCGCCCCAGGGCCGGGGCCAAGGCCGCCCGCACCTCCCACCCGTTTCTGCTCCCCCAGGCGGCGAGCCCGCCCCGCCGCGCCGCCGCCTCCTCCCGGAGCAGAAACTTTGCGTCTCTAATGGAAACCGAGCCGCGCGCCAGCTCCCTCCTCCCCCGCCCCCCCGCCCCAATTAGCGCGAGCCGAGCGCCTCCCGCGGGAAGGGGCCTCCTGGTGCACCGAGGCTCACGCCCGCCTTTGCCGCGGCCCCGGGCGGGGGCCGCAGGGGCGCGGAGACCCGGAGACTCGGGCCTGGCCACCGCGCAGGGCCCCGCCCGGGCGCAGGGCGGCCCGCTCGCCGCTTCCGCCCTCTCCGCCCCCCACCCCTCGCCTTCCTGCCCCCACCCCACCCTTCCCCGGCTCCTTCCTTCCCAGCCCACGCCTGCGCCGCGCCCCCCGGGAGGAAGGAGGGGACAGCGGCCGAGGGAGGCAGCCCGGCACCTTCACCGGGGTGGGGGGAGGGGGGCGACGGAGACGGCGCCCCCCACCCCCGGGCTGGAGCAATGTGCGCCACCGGATCGCTTCGGCCCATTCATTCTCTGCAGCCCGCCCGACCTGCCACCTCCGAGCCCGGGGAGAAGTGGGGGTGGGGGAGTTGTCTAGTGCCCGGCCCCGCCCGGCTCCCGGCGAAGCGCAGCGCTGCAGGCGGCCCGGGTGCGGTGCGCTGGATGCAGTGGGTGCGGGGCTGGGGGCCCGGGGGGGGGGTGCGGAAGGCCCCGGTGCAGCTGCGGCCGGGGCCCCTGCCCATGGACGGCCCGCAGCCAAGTTCGGCTCCAAAGAGGACCAAAATTTAAATGAGGATCCCTGGCAGAGGAAACCCGAGATGCAAATCCAAAGTGCATCCTTCTTAACTGCAGCTACTGCGTAACACCCAGAGAAGAAACCCCCTCCCCCCCCCAAAAAAAACAAGACTGAACTAAAAATCTGGGAGGAAATCTTGGGCAGCTGCTCCGCCGGCGTTTGCCACTCCCGACCTACCATGGTGCGAGCGAAGGGAGGAAGAGCACAGGGAGCAAGGGCGGCTGCACCAGCGCAGGGGCTGTGACGGCGGGGCTGCCTCCGCGGTTGCTGCTGCTAACGCGCGCTGTGCGCTGTGCCGCCACCGACTGCGCCGCGCGGCTGCGAGTAACGGCTCCGCGTCCACGAGACTCCCAGCACCACTGCCTGAGCGCGAGCCTGCGCCCCGCGCTATATATACGGCGCGCCGTATCCCTCCGCCGCGGCGGGCCGCCTCGCTCCGAGCGGCGCTGCGGCTGCCGGGCTTTGCCCGCCTGGCCCCGCCCCCGGCCGGCCCGGCCTCCCGCGGCCCGCTGCGCGCCGGAGCGGCTGCTTCTGCCGGGCGACAGCGCTGGAGGGGCTCGAGGGGGGCGCGCGGTCTCCCGGCAGGTGCGGCTAGGAGTCCTCTGGAGACGCCCATCTCGGGCCAGGCGAGGACAGAGCGCCCGCATAGCGCGACCTGGGGGACGGCCTGGGCGATGGAAGCTGTCCGCCCCTCACCCCACCTGTGTGACCCTCCCACCTCCACATCTCCAGCCGCTCCCGTGGGGCTGCCGGGTCCTGCTTGCCCCTCGCCCTTGGGGTCTCCAGCGGCCACTTCCAGTTTGGGAAGCTGCGGGAGGTCCTGGGGCTGGGGGGCGGCCGCGGGGAGGTGGAGGCAGAGGAACTGACCGCACACCTGCAGCCGCTGAGGAGAGGGGTCCGCAGAGGACGAGGTAGTTGTCCTCGTGGAAGAAATTGGTCGGATGTTTTGCTTTTCAAGTTTTGGATCAATATCTGAGGCAAATTATATTTATTGCTAAATCGGTATCCTGCTCCTGTGCTCACCAGTCTTACTTTAATGTTTTTATGTTTCCACTGAATATATTTTAGGATGCCTGAATATTTCTCCCCTACTGTTTTGTTTTCTTTTGCTGTGGGAAATACTATTCATCCTGGCTCCAGTCTTACTAAAATTAATGTACCTGTGCAGCTTCTGTAGACCTTAAAACCCATGCTCTAATTTTTTTGTAATTTTCCTGATTCTGAGAAGGGTCAGAATCTTCATTCATAAATCCATAAAAACAAAGCAGGAAAGAGATACTTAGAATCCCCTAGACTACAGGTAAAACACACAGCCAATTGCCTCTACTATGAAGCTAGATTGTATTTCAATCTACACTCTTGATTATATTCCTTTTAAAGGAATATTTTAATCTTTTAAGTTTACTAATGTATTCCAGTTTTCTGTAAACTCGGAAAAAGAACTATTTCAGTCATTAATTTGAAGCCCACTTGTAAAAATCCTAAGAAAATGCTGCAGTTTCTTTTCTTGCCAAAGTAGAACACAGAATTTGATGTTTTGTTTACAGGCCTGGGGCAACAGTTGCAGATTATCATTTGCTTACTCTCTCAGAGAATATGACAAAAGTGTGTGATTAACTTGCTCTGCTAGAAAGGGCATTGCTTGTTTATGTTTGTTTCTGGCTTTGACAAAAGTCTGCAGAAAGATGTTTTAAAAGAATGGGAAATGTTCAGGCATATTGCAAATGCCACAGGACTTCTTGGGATAACCTCAGATGAGATGTCAGCATCTGTGGAGCTGTTCTCACTGACGTTCCTTCTGGAATGCCGCAGAAAGGGTGAACCTGCTGTTTAATTTAAAAAGAGGCTGCAGTAGCCAGCCAGGGAATGGTGCCGCCTTTCCTCTGCAGATTAGAAAGACATTATTCACTTCACAAATCTAACTCCCATCCTCCTCCAAAAATAATATTCCTGGGCTCAAAGGGGAAAACCTGAGTGGGAATAAAGTATACGTATTAATGGGAGAGCTGGAAATAAGGAAATAAAATAAAAGGGACTAATACAAAGTAATTTTAAAGAATACTCAATAATCTGAGTTACAAGTCTAAATGGCCAGACTCATTATTAAAATTGCTTCTTTACTAAGGAATATTATTTCTGTCAGGTTTTTCATATAATATTAGTGAAATAAATTTTAAAACATGGTATGAGTTGTATAAGTAAGAAATGGCCTAGACATGAAATGAGTTGTTTTTTTTTTATTTCGGCATATTATGGGGGTACAGATTTTAAGGTTTCAATAAATGCCCATTTCCCCCTCTCCCCCAGAAAAGTCTGAGTCTCCATCATGACCATCCCCCAGATGGTGCACATCTCACTCATTATGTATGTATATACCCGTCCCCCTCCCAATGAAATGAGTTTTATTATTAAAGGTCTACTAGTTTCTAATAGTCTTCCATTCCTTATGATTATTTTGGTTAAGTGGCTACAATCCATGGTTTTAAAAGCCAGGCATTCTCTAAAATAATAGTTCTTTCTTTTTCATTCAACCTTATTTCACCTGAATGAAACACTTTGAGACTTTTTTGCGACTTTACTTGCTAAAAACATTTCAGAAACATTTTACTTATAGTAAAATTTATTTTTCTGATTCTTCATATTTTACAAACTGGAGTTCTCTTTTGGTGATTCATTAATGTATCAAAGCACAAATTAGCTTTCAAGTCCATTGGGTTTATAATGAGGTCATGCTTTATACAATTTTATGGACGTGCTTTTCACAGTTTGACACACTGAAATATAAGAAGGTCAAGTGACTTGCCCAAGATCTTACTGTGAGTCAGTGATGGGGCATAAAATACAGCCTAAGCCCTCACTCAGGGGCTCTAATATTAGATTATTTATTAGTGAAATCAATATCTGAAAATTATATAGATACAATGTTAAGGATTTGTCTATTTTAGTAAAGCAGAGTCTTCTAACTGCCTGCTTAGATGGTCACTGGGTTTTTATCAAATGGATTTCTTCAAGTGAATAAACTTCCTGATTTATGACGAGATCAGCAATCAGGAAAATAAGCCACATTATTGTGATATTATAAGTTACTGAGAACTAAAAGCCTATCGAACATTTCATGATATTTAGAGGAAATAGTTCTATATGAAATTATTTAAATGAAATAAAGTTAATTAGAAGAAAAATAGAAAGAATGCAGCCTCAAGCCAGGAATCTCAGGTTTGAATATAATTTCTGTGACTAAGCAGATAACTCCAACCCTCTGAATCTTACAGAAAGAACACAGATGTAATAATTGTACAAACCTATAGGTAAAACAAGAAGTTTGAATTTGATCTATAAATTCCTTCCAGCTGTAAAACCTTGTGTCTGAGGTTATAACACATATGATTATAAAGTATATACATATAACATGCATTATACATGTATCATTTATGTGTATACATATACACAAATATACATTATTGAAGATGAGAGAAAATAGAGAAATGGAAATAGTTTAAAAATAACTTTTGCTGAGCATTGACTGTGGCCAGGCCCTGTGCTAAATGTATTATTTCATCCTGCTACCCATTCTGTGAGACAGGTATCATTCTTACAAGGAAACTGAGGCACTGAACAATTCAGTGACTTGCCTGATTTAAGTAGTGTAACCCAAAAATCTAGCTGACAGCCCAAGCACTTAAGCATTACACTATAACAATCTCCTGTGATTTAATAGAATTTATTTTTAATTTTGGGTGAGGAGGAGAAGCAACAAAGATTAAAATTTGGTTTATAAAGAGATACTTATGGCTGGGCGCCGTGGCTCATACATGTAATCCTAGCACTCTGGGAGGGTGAGGAGGGCAGATTGCTCGAGGTCAGGAGTTCAAAACCAGCCTGAGCGAGACCCCATCTCTACCAAAATAGAAAGAAATTAATTGACCAACTAAAAATATATATACAAAAAATTAGCCGGGCATGGTGGTGCATACCTGTAGTCCCAGCTACTTGGGAGGCTAAGGCAGTAGGATAGCTGAGCCCAGGAGATTGAGGTTGCTGTGAGCTAGGCTGATGCCATGGCACTCGCTCTAGCCTGGGCAAGAAAGTGACACTCTGTCTCAAAAAAAAAAAGATACTTATTACACAAGGATTTGAAATTAACATAAATTATAGGAAAATAGTAATGACTCTGTCTCCCACATAAAAAACAGAGTATTTGTAAGACAAAACCTAAAGCAAGACATTTACTCTGTGTTGCTTCCAAGCTGAAGGACAATTCTCATTTTGCCACTGAGGCCTAGAGAGGTAAGGAGACTTGCTCACTGTCAAACATCCAGGTGATGGAACAAGCACGGTGGCTCATGCCTGTAATCCCAGTACTTTGTGTGTGTGTTGGGGGGAGGGATTGCTTGAGGCCAGGAGTTTGAGACTAGCTTGAGCAAGAGAAAGACCCCTTCTCTGCAAAAAATACAAAAATTAGGTGGGCATGGTGGCTGGCACCTATACTCCAAACTACACAGGAGGGTTGCTTGAGCCCAGGGTTTGAGGTTGCAGTGAGCTAGGATGATGCCACCACACTGTACTCCGAGTGACAGAGAGAGACCCTGTTTCAAAACAAAAGAATACAAAACAAAAATACATCCAGTTGGTGACTGCATGCTTTCATGGAAAGAGATGACCAATGGCTCCATAATACCAGTCCTGTTCCTTAGACCATGCTGTCTCTCTAGGAGCTGCTATTTTAAATTCATCTTTTACAAAATTGTCTCTGAGGCAAAACCTGAAAGTTAAGATATCAATTAATACAAAACAAACATACATCCTTGATTTTTACTAGTATATATTTAGAGAATATATTTCCATATTTAAACCTGTCTCAGAACAAGTCTCCATTTAAAGATAATTTGTTATACTTCACACTCATATATGTATTTGTGTGTGTGTATATATATATATATCCTTTCATGAAGTTTACATTCTTTTGAGAAATTGTATATGTATGAAAGAGAGAGAGACACACAGGGAGTTGAGGGAGTTGGTTGTGTGGTTTGGTGGTAAATAATAGCCTAAACTTATTCATGATATATAATTATAGTCATGTCTTCATGGATGGATTATTCTCAAGAAATTTGTAATCCCAACTGGTACCCACCTCCTGAGAAACAAATCTCTTCTACTCTCCACCATCCATCCCCCCAAAGCCCTCCTTCTCCGCCCTGTGGTCCCATAGCACTTTGATGAACATCTACTGTTTGGGATTCTGTACCTCACTAATCACTTCCAATCACCAGAACAGATTCCTACTGTGTGTGGATTTAGATTTCATTAAATTTTATATAGGACTATTATAAAAGCTTTATTATCACTACCAATAAATAAAATACTTTACTCTGTTATTTTTCCACCGAAAATTTTGCTATTACCTTTTTTGTCAATATTTTTATGAAT